GAGAGACTTTTCTGTGTTCAGTTACAGTCGTTCAATTAAAAACTGTCCCTGCTAGATGTACATCAGCTGCTAATGTTGTTTGCGGGGACGTCTGTATATTTAAAATAAAAACCATTTTCCATAATCACATACTACGATAATTGTGCTGCTATCCATGTATCAGACGTTCATTTAATTTATATACGTTTTTCCTCTTTCTGCCCTCCGCTACTCATCTTTGACGTCTGTGTGTTATCGTTCTAATTATGTAAATTCTCTGATCGAGTACCTAATATGTTTTACATCCAATAGGCGTAAATAATCATGTTATATTCATTACGAAGAAATTAAGAGTAAATTATGCAGATAGCTAGATTTAGCTTCCTTGTACTCTGATAGATATTAGCTGACGTTCTCAGAGGAACTTCCTGACTCTGCCGTAAGCCATTTTCAATATACTTGTCGAGAAAACCTGCAGTTTTACGAAGATTAATTTAAATAAATGTTATGCATGTTATCGTACATAATCTTTCGAAAGATTAATTTACGCTAGTTTCATGTAGACATGTAATTTGGTATCTGTCTATAAGATAATGTAGTAGTGACGTTCTTAATCTCTATTGCAGGTAGTAGCTAATATTCTGCACTTGCAAACAATTCCTGTTGTATTATAGCTATTGTTAGAAAACAGAACTTGTAATGTTTCCACCAATAACATTTAGTAAAATTCCCCCTTAGATGTTTATTAGGTTACTATATTTGTAAGTAGTAAGTTAATCAAACTGAACAAATGGCATGTTTTTCATACTAATGGAATTGCTTGCATAGTTCCTCCTTAATTAATATACACGTTACGTCATTTGGATATTTGAGGGGTATTCATTAGAACTCGGAAATACATAACGTTGAAAGCTAAAATTTTCAATGCTTGGTTGTTATATTTCGCTTGCTTTATTTAATACTGTTCAGTTCAAATTAATTACGTCTATGACAATAAATACATGCATATACATACGTGTACAATGTATATTTATCTTCTTTGCAATATTAGTAGCTAGTCTAGAAGCTGGCTGCTAGTATGGAACTTGAGAGTTCGCTATCGTAATCATTGAAAACCGATTCTCAGTCGTTAGAATCCAATCCACATTCTAAAATCGTATTTCTCTGACATTAATTTTTTATTATCCTCTCACCTGCTCTTGGGTTTTCAAATTGGTCTTCATTTCCAGTCTGACGATCAAGATTCCTATGCATTATTCATTTCTCATGGTATACCACATTCTTCACCCATTTCTTCCGTAATAATATGATGATTTGATAACTTTAATTTGATTATGGATTATAAGTGAAAACATTAACAGACTCGCTAATTTTAAAATCTTATCACCTGTCAGCACATATTTGAAGGAAGGAGGACAATCCAAAATTAACCTTTATCGTCCGTGCTGCAGTTCAGCTGGGCGTCTGTTAACCTCAGACTAAGAGCCTGACTGGTAG